TTCTATTTGAACAAAGTCTGTATTTTTTTCACACCTGCGAGAATGATTTTGACTATTCAGTAAAATTGTAAAAAGTTAAAAGAGAACTTTTAAAAATATTTTAAATAATAATTATTATAAATTTTATTCCTTCCAGCTTACCATTAATCTGTCGTGTAGATATTAGTAGTGTATTAAAAAGTTAAAAAAGAAACATTGTATTAAGGTCACTGTGCGACTCCTTCACTGTAGTCTGGATGTTATAAATGCTGGTTGTAAATTTAGGCAACGTTTATTCTTCACATAGGTAATAAAAAGTAGGTAGAAAGCGTCCGTTCAGGTAAAAAATTTAGGTGTGAGAGAGAGAGGGCGCTATTGCCATTATAAATGAATAAACTTACAATTGTGTTGGGTTCGGTTCACATTCTTAGTTAAACACCTCATGACTACTTGTCGCAAGTGTAGAGTTGTAATAATGTATCGTAAGAATCAATAGCCTCAATATAAGATCTTAGATAAGACATTTATCTTGTTTTCATTCGACAAAATATGACTGTATAGTGGTTTTTCTATACATTGCCTTTTTGTTTGAATACTATAACTGTCACGTAGTATAATTTGGTTTGCGACGTGATTCGGTGTCTTTGGTAAAACATGGCCCTAAAAATGTACAGACATGTGACGACGTGGTAGGCCTGGTTATTGACCCACTTAAAATATAGTTGAGTGCAGTAATGCAGCAATCGCAGTTAATACGCTAACTAGGAGGGCTATTGTAATGCGTGCTGACGCTATGCCAACAATCCTAATGGTTTCCAGAATTGTGAAGCCTTTAAACTACACGACTCGTGGTCCTTCTGTCCGAGAATGACTGGTTTATCCATCATACTAGTGAACTAGGCACTACCTTGTACTGGTCACTACAATTGATCTATTTTGTTCCTTAACTTTTATTTGTATGTTTAACATTTTGTTTTTATATAATTGTGTACTAAAAGAACAGCAGCCTATGCTTTCTGAATTGGGCAGTGGAATGATAAAAAATGACAATACTACTCTACGCATGTGAGGGTGACGCTAAGATTGGTGTTTGAAGTTTATAGATCGATTTCGTTATAAACGCAGACCTCTGACGCGACTTCCCCATTGATGAGTTTACGTACAAACTCCCGGAATGCAATAATTTCTCCAGTTTTTCTAAAAATTTAATGCATCCGTCGCTCGCTCGTCGCTACTTACTCGCTTTGTGGTCTCTAATACTTCATGCTAGCACATATTCAGCATGATAGAGCAAGTATGGACAAGGACTGGAGGGATGACAAGGACAGAAATCGAATTAGTATTTCTTTAGTAAAAGAAGAGTTGAATTAGTATTTCTTTAGTAAAAGAAGAGTTACAAGTACTAACAAACTTAGATTTTGCATGTAAAAACTTTTATGATTAGTGAAAAACCGACAAATATTAGACGCTGCTCGAAAACAAAATACATATAAATTTAAAAATTAGTTTACGATTTCTCCCGAGTTGGTATTTTCGAAAGTTGGCAACCCTATTTAGCCTGGTACATTGTACGAGTGGTTTTAGAAGGAGGAGATACCAATGAAGTAGACCAGTTCTAGATAGCGTATCAAGATGAAACTTATTTTAAGTTAGACCCTCAGGAATACAACTGTGAAAACCGCATTCTATTTGAAGCAGTAGTTTTTGCGTGATGCCGGAACAAACATACTGACAGCCACAAAGTTTTTAATAGTTATTATTTTGGCTTCTTTTCTATTATTTTTTCTTAGATATCTCTCATATACAGACATTGTCTACTTACACTTTTATTATATTAGACTATGCTGAGCTCTAGCATAATATGTGTAACAATTTAGCTGGATTTCTTCATCCTGTCTACTATGCGGCTCGGTTGAATCATGACAATGCTTCCTGTGCGTGGGATAATGTCTTTAGTTTAAAGGGCGATGGTCTGAATTGGGTACATTCGAGATATTTAAATAATAGAAGTACTGTTGTTTTATGTTTTACATATTGTGTAATATGTATAAAAAAAAAAAAAAAAACTAAGTATTGTAACTTGGGAATCTCTACTTTTTTGAAGTCGTTTCAAAAGATTTGTAAATAGATATATATAGAATTGTGACTTAACCAGTACTAGATATTAATGGTAGTATGAGATGATAGTTGAGAATTGAGAATGAAGTGAGGTCAGTTAACCTGTCATGACGATTTCATCTTGAATTTACCCCCAAATGGTTTCTAGCGGAGAACGCGTGGAGGTCGACCTAATAGGGATATTATACTGTTAATTATGGGGCCCACTATTTCTTATTACCAGTAACAATCCCCTTCCCCAAATGATTACAGAAAATCAGCGGATGCAACACCATTCCTTATGACCGTCATGGAGGACTATGTTCAGCATTGGACAGATAATGGCTGATATGATGGTGATCCCCCTCCCTGTCTGCAAATATGTACACATGTTCCAAGAGCGGTGTGTTATTATCAAACTGTCTTTATTTCAGTCATAGAAAAGGGTTGAAGTTAGCTCGAGAGAGGGGCAATGAGTGATCTTAATTTATGTAGTAAAATTATTACATACAGAGTTGAATCGTAAACCGGTTATAATAATTTCAAACAGGTAAACATTTAATTCTCAACGCCTGTTTATAATATAGTTTCTATGAATTAATGCAACACATTCGTCCGTTTGTTTACATGGCCCGTTCTTAAAATCATCGGGTTTTGTTTACAGAAAGATTTGTAAAGAGGTCCGTTGACGGTCAAGCGGTTTGAGTGAAGCACGTAGATTTTGGCTTCACTTGATGAAGCATTAACTTATTATATGTTGTATTTATTTATTATTCTTTAATTTTTAATCAGTGTTGGCACAACTGAAGTCGCTATTCTTTTGTGCAGAATAGTCCTTCTTGTGTTAGCATAAAGGGTGCATTTCTAGATATGCAATTTTTGTAAATCAAATTTAAACCTTAAGAAATGAATATGGTACGAACACGTTTGCAAAAAGAAATATTAAACAGTTTAGCGTTAACTTGATTAAAAGACCATTGTTTTGATCCTGACTAACGAGTAAGGTTTGCTATGTTTCTTGTAAATTATACATTATTTAACGACATTTGCACAGCGTTGAACCGCTACACCGTGCAATGTCAAATACTATTATTATATTATTATTATTTAACAATATTGCACGTTGTAAAGGTTTAACGCTACCTTATCATTCGATGGTTGCAGGTTTGAATTCCATACAGTGCTTGATATATAATTGTGTTTTAAGAAAATATATGCCTGTTAGTCGCTTCATTCCTATTCTTTTCGCGAGCTTACTCATTTCCAATATAACGGGGAATGAGTTAATTGCCTTTTTTCTGTTTTTTCCACCAGCGATGGGTCTATAAGATGGGATTAATCACTAATCTATAGCTATAATACCTTTGTATTTATTAGATGTACGAGTAGGTATCTATTGTTGTAGATTTGTATGAATAATTAATGATAATAAACAATTATAAGGGGCATTCATACAATCGTTGGCTACATATTTTTTAAATTAGCTTGACGGAAAATCGAATCAGGGAGTTAGAGTTGGAAATCAAATTCATATCGTTTATTACTTAATCGTCAATCATTTAACAAACTTAGATTAATAATTGAATATCTGCTGCCTTCATATCCAGTATGACCTAACTGACCAAAAATTACATAGGTTAATAATTAAAATGTATTAGTTAATTTAAAACTTTTATATTGTTTACATATATTTTAAATTTACGATCCGGACTTAAAGCGATGCGATTATAGGTAAATAGTATTTACATATCTGATTTTTAATATTGACATTTGAACGTGTATTGCATTTCAACGTAATAGGAATTAGCAACCCTTTTGCTAACAACCTTATCAGGTCGACCTCCACGCGATTCTCCCCGGAAACTATTGTGATCAATTTATTGTTGAATTCGTCACTATGGCCTAAACGACCTGTTTTATTCTCATTTATCATCCCTCAATGATGCCCCGTCACAGTATATCGATAGCACAGGCGGGGTTACCATTTCATTATCATCTATTAAAAATAATATCAAATTTTATCGATTTTGGGTCAATAGGTACCTCTAGTTTTGCTTTACGAGCATACGATTTTTGGTTCCATATAAATTATGATAAATTTTTGTTTTTTAAATTATTTTAACAAATTTCTCATTAATATAATGTTAGTAATGTATTTTTCCATAAAACCGCAATGTCAGTCCGAAACACATACTTTTTCAGTTTCTGGATATTATGACTCATTTGTACTAGGTAGGCAGTTCATGAAATGTTAATTAAGTACATTGTATGAGTACGCAAGCTTGCGATTTTTTTTTAGGTTGAGTAATTATAATAACATGATAAATATTTTATTGGTTTCAGTTGTAATACATAGAGATCGAGTAAAAGTAAAATTAACAAGATAATTTCAATAAACAAACTGATGAACAAACATATAAACTTTTATTTTTTTAATTTACTGCTGTCTGCATCATATATTTAAATCTATCTGTTATTTCGAAGGGATAGGTTGAAAGTAAAAAGGTTCAAATTCAAACGACTATCTTTATATCTTTTGCTTCACCCATTTTCATAATTTGACTTCATGGGTCTACCCTGAGTAGAGACCTAATTTCTTTATTATTATCGGATCATGTTTTCGTCAGTCTAGGACTTTTTTGACTTATTACTTCTAAAATACTTTCACATTATTGCGCATTTACAGTGACTTTTCAAATATTCTGTGTTAGTATAATTTTGGCCTCGTTACTATTTTATTATAAGATAAAGAATACGCACACTTGAGGCGTATCTGGCGCACGAACGTTGGTAATCATAATGCTTCTAATCGATGTAGGTATTGTGTTTTACATCACTTCTTTGATTCAGTGCCAAAATTCGACAAATAAATTTGTTTTCCAAGTAATTAAAGTAAAAATTAAAAAAGAAAATTAGGCACTCACCTCACGAATCCAGGGTAGTGTAGAATCTCGCACAACTATGCAACTAAATGTCTTGTGTCAACAATGCCAATAATCATCGCCTTGACGGTAAACGACAAATAATTAGTAGGTTAATAATATTATTTTTCACTAAACTTGAAATTAAACTTCTTCAATAATAAATCTTATAAACGCTTCTCGGCATGTATCGTATGTCAAATATGAAATGCACGATGCTAAAACGTCGGTCGATACCGGTACTCGCGACGGCGACTGATGCGATTGTGCCAGCGGTAGTTGCGCGCGCGCAGCGCCGTCCGCGCGACCTTCAGGACTCTACGTGTGTGCAACAGATGCTGTAAGGTCGATATTCGTGTGACACAAGCTGAGCCGTCAATTCGTAATAGCCATAGTTTAATAAGCAAACAATCAAAAACATATTGATATAAGAATCGAAGATGCTAATATACATCTCTATAACATATTTGAAACGTTTATATTAAGATTTAGTTACTAGAATTGAATTGTACATTGGATTATCTAGGATTATCTTATTATTATGTTTATTATTTATTTATAATATAAATTATAGAACTGTCATAGTATTATATAAAATTAAATTTTAATTATTTTATTGAAATTTAAATGTAATAAATAATTTGAACGAAAATTATAACTGTATATAGAGTGGTGGAGTTTAATTAGCTGCAAACTGTAAGTATAGGTAATGCTATAATAAATAATAATTAAATAATTCTGAATTGAAATTTATCAGGTTCCAGTAACAGATGTAGGTATGTTAGACAATTGACGTTCGATTATCTTTTCGGTTTCTATATGCCCAATAATTCCCATAATAAGGTATGTACTTGGCGTGAAAATAGATTGTTCATCGCTATGTAACGTCGTCTTCTATAACAAATTATCTCATTTAGCACCATAGACAAGCGAATGTACGAACGTATTTGCAATGTAGATGTCTCATGTCACTTTATGTTACCTTCTGTGTTCATTAGAATAATCTAGCTTCACATAACATTACATTTATATAGATAATCACACCTTAAATGTGTGGATCGAAGGTGCATAGAGACATGTTAGTATTTTTGGGATCCATAATTGAGTGTGTGGTTTGAAGTGGAATCGAAAAATCTTACTCAGTATTTTTTTATTCCAAAATTGTGCAGATTGTGGAGAACATATGAAAATATTATTTTTGTTAGATCCCACCATAACAATGGATTAAAAATAATATACTCGTACATTAAGTTACATGTGGAGATTATGGATCCAAGTGAAAGAACTCTCAAATTGAACATCTATTTTGAAATGAGAAAAATATTTTTAATGTTATTGTTTGATTATTTTATAATTAGTATGTTACTTGTATGTAGAATGATAGCTGTCCTGAGTCGTACTGTATTGTAGTGATTTATGTCGTCTCTATTCACGTATGATATTCGGGGATGCCCAACTAATTTCGGACCCGATAGGATTCCATTCTTTATTCATGAGCGCCGTTCACAGCTGTGTATATTATTTTGTTAATTACTTGTATATAATAATTTATTATAATAGTAAATTATTATATTAAATATTACTAATGTACTAATTTTTCCTAAGAGTAGCTTTTTGCCCGTTGCTTTGTATGCGTAGATTTCAGAAGTTGTTACAAAAGATCATTTCTATATGATGTACCAAAAACATACTGCATTTTAAGTTAGACTCTCAGCAATAAAACTGTGAAAAACACATCCAATTTGGTGCAGTAGTTTTTGCGTGATACAGGAAAAAAAATTATTAGTAAGATACTGTATTATTTATGAAGTACCTACCCTCATTAGACTTGTCAACGTCATTGTAAATACCATAGATTAAGGAGTAACGTTCTTAATACAAGTCTGACTATTTGCTATCTAGCAGCCAAGTATTATGCAAATATATTATTGATAGTCTGATAAAGTCAAGTCACGAATTGACTGATTATTGTTACCTCATGTTTGTATCGCGCTTTAGGGATCTTAGAACACTCATTAGGCTGAGTTATTATATAGATATAAAGCAATTAAATCCCTTGTATATAGTTTTATACATTCTCAATTTTACTGTGTACTTTATTCTTGATTCATGGGTTTTTATACAATTCTAGCTGCTCCTATAGTTTCTAATTTTCTTTAAATCCGTTCATTCATTTAAACCTAATTGAGTAACAAACATTAAACATCATTTTTAATTTTCACTTGTATGGTATCATCATTTTAGTCATTATTCGTCCATTGCTGGATATAGTCCTCCTCTATAGATTTTTTTAATGGATACCAGTGGAGTGGACCCTGCTTGTGCTGGCAGGGCACTAGTGAATGATGATAGTCGAGATTAAAAAGCAGGTCAGTTAGCCCATCGTGATGAATACACTAGGAATTCTACACGATGGTTTCCAGGAGGGATCACATGGAAATAGACCTAAAAGGGTTATATTGGGGGGAAAGGGATTGTTAGTAATGAGGTTTAATAGCCAATCCTATCGGGTCGACCTTCACGCGATTCTTCTAGAAACAATGGGACTGGTAGTCTTAATTATTAATAATCCCTTCCCCCCCACCCTTTCCCATAGATTGCCACAAGGAACAGTTCTGAGCCACCTGTATCTACTGACTCTAACTCTCTCTGTAGCCCGCTGAGTAATTTGAAATTTTGCATACGGGCAATCGTGTAGGACCATGATTCGGTTCCTTATGTCATCACTAAGCAACACGTTGTTTAAAGACATCTTCAAACTTTGAAGTATTTTGGATTAAAAGATGTCGCGTAGTTTTCCACACGTTGCAACCGAGTTGGATTTGTCGGTTGACTTTTATGGTATATGAGGGTGTAATAATAAATTTATTAACCATAGTATTATTTGCACCATATATGTTATGATTTCTATACACACCTATAGATACGGTTCTTTTCTTTTCGGGTTCTTAAAGTCGACTGGAAGTGATTCCTTTAAGGGATACGTCCACCGCTGTACATTTTTATTACAACCTAATATTTATAAGTGATTGTATAAAAGCATATAAATAATAAAATAAATAAAATCATAAGTGTTTAAAAATATCTACTGAAGATTAGAAATAAGATTTGGAGTCTGTCTATTTAGAGTTGATGCCCATATATCTTTTATTAAGTGTTTCTAAAGAAAATAATAGAAGTGTTTCAAATAAAATTCGATAGCTGACCCTACCGAGAACCTAACCCCTACTTTAGATTCTCGATTTTTAATGAATAAGATTCTGACCTTATTTACGAAGAGTAACAAAATATTAAAGTAGATCTTCGAATATATTGAAATATTTATTTAAAACATTAAATAACAAATCTTTTTAGTCATGCTCAATGTGTATTCAGCCATATGTAACGGTGGCAAACAACCATAATAATTTGTCTGATGATAAACGTATATTATGAGTGCCTACACCATAGAGGTGTGGTTTATGTTGCTGGCCTTGAAGGTGTCTTAACAAACCAATTCCATTTCATACCACATCAAGTGAATACTTTGGCGGGAAGCATTCCGCTACTCGAGCCGTTTGCAAGAGGAAACTCCTTTGAAATTCTACTGTGGTTTCAGGGTGTAAGAATGGAGTGCATTTTGAAGTATTGTGATGATAAGAGGCCATGTTTATCACATCTAAGCTTATATTATAAATATAATTTTGTTTGTTTGTAATGCATAAACTCAAAAAATAGTTAACCCACTTTAAAAAATATTTCACCTGTAGAAAGCTACATTATCAACATATGACATGGCTTGTATTTTACGTTAAAAAACCGTGCGAAGCTGGGGCAGGTTGCTAGTCATTACAAAAAAGAAAGACATTTTTCCTTGTTACTGGTACTGTTCAGCTTCTTATTCTGACATTTCCCACCAAGAATTATGATCATTAGTGGCAACAGTCACGAATTACGTTGTAATTGCGAAACAGTTTACAGTAATTTACTACATGAGCCACCGTTCTACATAAATATACATCTTGCTATCTTTCAAACGTGACGTGAATTGCTTTCTCTATATCGCACACGTTTATTTCGAAATTACTTAAAAAAAAGACAAACTTTTCAATTGAATTGTATTTTTGTGTGAAGCACGTTAAGCAATTCTTTATCGACCGACTTTTAAAAAAAATTCTCAAGTCAGTTATATTTTTTTATGTCCATTCTAAATCGATTTGAAAAATTCTTTTGTTTTATCTATTAGGATATACTTACAGATTGGTTCCACAGAAATTTTACCAAAATCAGTTTATCCGTAGTTTAAACTACTGAATTAAAAATAAATTTTTAGACCAAACTATTTATTATAACTGGGTTTGCCACAATTGAATCGGTGTTTTTTTTTTTTTTGGCTCACGATATTTAATTATTTACATCAATATTTTTGAAGTATCAAATTGCTTTTCTAATTTGGTCCTCCCACTTTCCAAAAGAGGTACTTCGCAATCTGTTTGTATTTTTGTTGTAGCCTACGTCGCGAATTCTTTAGATTAAGTAATAAAAGTTATAATAAAAGTTTTTCCTTTGATATTATTCTTTCTATCCTTTTGGATATAAAAAGAATAATCAAAGTTTACTCCCGTGTTGATTCCATATTCTTTTTGTAACGATATAAGCTGACGTTTTCTCTGCCATGACTTTGCAAAAATCTCCTAATGACAAAATCTGTTTTTATTCTAAATTCAAACATTAAATAATCTCATGTCAATCTAAAATATCTTGTCGTTTTCAGATGTATTTTATAGAGATTTAATGGATCTAGGTCAACAGGATGTACCCTATAGGTTTTAATTCCCTTGACAATGTCAAAACATACGCCATTAATGATCGTATCTTCTTGCATTGAAATTTAAATTTTTAGGATTGCAAACTCGAGTATTTGATATTAATTTCAGTTTCATATCCCCGCGTGTTCCTGAAAAAAAAAAGGGTCTTGACAACTGGACGGACAACAAAATGACTCTTTTCCGTTTTCATGTACGGAACCCTAAAAACTGTCAATTTCAATCAATAGTAATGTATTTTAATGGCGATTATATTTATTGAATCCTATTCTGGCTTGGGGCGATTCTTAGTTATTAGACCTCATTGTATTACTTGTCCTTACATTTTAAATGAAACTATCCATTCTGTTCGTCATATTTAATCACGTTGTAATAACGATCCACTACTGCAAAATAAACTAGAGTTATCACCTGATTTATAAACTACGGATAACCCTAGGTTACCCGTGTTTGTGGGTTAACT